CCCCCCGCGGCTTCCTCTGCTCCAAGTCCAGGTGAAGGCAGAGAATAGGTTCCTTTCTTCCCCTGATCTGCCCTCTCGGTGAGGGCACAGGCCTTGAGAGACTCCTCATGCTATTAGAGCCCTGCAGAAGCAGACCCCTCGGCATGCAGCTGAGGCCTTGGTGTCCGTTCAGGACTTATGTTTCCTGGGCTCTCTTTGCTTCTGGCCACCCGCATTTGGCCTTGTTGTCTTCCGCTGTGTGTACCTAGCTATGCATTTTCAAAGATGTTTTATTTTACCTACTGTATCCAAATGTTTTATATTGGGAGGTTTATAAGGACATTTGTTCCACTCCACCCAGATTCTTGCGGTTGCCTCCTGTTTTTCTCATTCTAGTTTCTGTTCCTGCCTATTGAATAGATTAATTACTTCCTGAAAACAGTATTTATGTTCTATCATATTCATATTTCCAAACTTTTAAGTGTCATCTTTTAGCCCAATATTCAGATGTATCTGGCCCAGTGCACTTCAGCATTGTGCAATGGCTTCCTTATGGAAACCTTCCACTCCAGCCATACTGCTTGACACACTGTTCCCCGATGTCCTTGGCCCTCCCCTCACTGTACTTGCTCATGCTGACTCCACTACTGGGACGAAGCCTCGGGTCCTTTATATTCTTCTGCACATGTTTTTGTACACACGTGTTTCTCTTCTGCCTCTGAATCTTCATAGTGCATCTTCATAGTTTGAGTCCTTCAGGAGCAGACACCGTGGTGGGGTAGAAGGCTACTTGGGATCTTTTTGGGGTGGTACCTTGGGAAGATAGGAGGGAGAGGAGCAGCAGTGGGCGAAGAACGCCTTCAGGGCCCGTGCAGGTGTAACACCTGTGAAAGGCGATGGGAAGGAAGAGCAGTGCCTCTGCCCAGGCGCAGCTCCGAGAAAGGGCTGGCCAGCCCAGCAGCGAGCGCCGGGCCAGGATTCCTCACGGAGTGTTCCCCCGGTGGGCAGAAGTGGCCAGCTCTGTGCTCAGCTGTTGGCTCCACTGAGGCACTGCAGTGAGTTCTGAAGGTGCCACGGCCCGATTGTCACGTGCCACTTCTGACTAGTGTACCTCTGTGGCTGCCGTGGCCTCTGTGGCCGCCATGTGTCTGTGTGGCACTTAGTCACAGACTTAATATGTCATCCAGTCCTTAAAAAAATGTGCACGTGTATAGAAAGATTTAGGTTCACAGCAAAATTGAGCAGAAAGTACAGCAAGTTCCC